GATAACTGAAGTTAAAGGCAATTTATATGGAGAAGCATAAGAATATTAATAAGAATCAGCCCCTGAAATTCGAATTTCATATACAAAATTAAATCAGTTTTGGAAGGATTTAGAAGATTTTGGCTAACAAATGATACTGAGGCTACAACTAGTAAAATTAATCATTCGAACAAATGAATATTGTCTTTAAAAATCAGCAATGCCCTGATATAAGTAAAATTTAAAATATGTATCTAAGATTCCAACCTTGTCTAAATATCCAAAACTTTATCCATTTTTTATTGCTGTGTTAAGGTTATTAGTATTAAGTATTTTGAGAGATAAAATACTTTTAATTTCTCTAATAGGAATTAAGACATCAATGAAATCAGAAGAGGCTAATGATTAAGTTGCTTTATATTTAATATAGTATTTAATCTTAAATTTTATTACTGCTCCATGTGGTAAAGTATTTTTAGGTATCAATAAATAATTATCCTATAAAAAAGTTAATATAAGATAAAAACTCATTATGAGTCTAAGTATTTTTTTTTCCTTCTACTTCACAATTCCAAATTATTTTATCTAATTTTCTAAATCTGTGATTTTGAAAAGATTTTAAAAATATATTAAATTTTCTTCAAATGGATTGAGTTGAAAAGGAGGAACGTTAGACTCAATTAATGAAGGATGTGGATTTTTTGGTAACTACAAAGTTGTAAATATAAACTTTTGTATAGAATTTTCGCAGTTATTGTGAGATAATGAATTACTTGATTAAGGATAGCAAACAGCATTTTAACCAAAACTTTATACAGTTTTGAATTATAGTTAGAAGCATTTATTAAGTTCAAACAATGAATTAAATCCTTTTTAACTCAAAAGAAAATCAAAATGAATAATAATCTAACTAATGTCATCAGATAAATATGCTTGCAATTTGGCGGACGATTTAGTATAATATTGGATGAATCAATCATTGATACATTTCAGAGAAATCAACATTGATTATTTTACCTTAAGATCGATTTGCACTTATTTTTAATAAAATAAGAGTGAAAATTATAGATAAAATTATTTCATTTCATAATCATGTAAAGTTCTCAAAATTTTCTGGTATACTATCAATTCCCCCAAGCCCTAATTGATTCATTCCATCAGCCATTGTTGATTCTATTTCTCCTAGCAATTGATGAATTTCAGAGTCTCCCATACATTCTTTAAATTAATCTAATATCATATCTGGTTTTTATAAATTTTTAATTTAATCTTCTTCTTCTACTTTAAACTTTTATAATTTAAAATCTTAGACTATCATATTTATTGCATTAGATATGTACTCTTAGAGTTCGTTTTTATTCTAAGAGATTAAACAAAATTGTTACCATCATTTGATTTACTATGTATTAGAAAGGTTCTGGTTATTGCTTCAAAATCTTTATGCTATATCTGATAATTTCTTTAACTTATTAAACTCTGCTTGTGATTTTTCTTATAACTCTTTTCAATATCTTCGTTATATTTAAGAATTTATTGTCTATATAAATTAAGTTAAGAATTTCATTTATAAATCCTCCTCTATTTTCTATTTGCTAAGGTAATTCTTAAGTATTCATCTCCTGCAACTTCTATTGAATATTATAACATATCAACTCTTTCTAAATCAAAAATATTTTGTTTTTAGGTATTTTTGTTTACACTTTCATACATATTATTTGATGTATTTAAGGAATCTTAATATTCTTGATCATCTTTATTATAATATAATAATCCAACACTATTTACATAATATATTAGAATACCTTACTAAGATGCCTGATGTTGTCAATCCTAAGACAATGACTTTATGATCCTTACAAAATGAAAAAAAAGTAGATTTAATTTTTTATTTATTAATTGAGTAGAGTTTTTAATTAAATAATAATAATTTAAAATAATGTGGCTTTGCGCATGGACACTAACTGGGCATTCACATTTTGTTTAACCATTCTAATAATAACCAGCAATTGACAATTAATCTCATACTCCACATTATTGCTTTTCATAAGGAGCAATGTAGAATTTGAATAGATTTGAATTCATGCACAAAAAAGAAAAATATTGCATTTTTTTAAAAGTATCTCAGAAATAGAAGAGCAACACCATTTGTACTTCGATAAGTTTCAGGATTTGAAGGAAAAAAATTAGTTGTTGAAAAATAAGCATATTCAGAAGATGTTATGGTTAGTAGAGAATGAATTATTGAAAAAAAAAATATAATAAAATATTTTAATATTTATTCATACCATGTTATATTATTTTAAATATTAATTTATGGATTAATAAGAAGAATAA